ATGTATCAAATATCTCTTAAAATTTAAAGAAATTTGTGTAAAGAATAGAAATTCTACAAATTAAACTCAATTTAAAACTGATAGAAGTAAAATACAAATTTGTCTTCTATTTCAACCTAAGTTCAATACCAAGTTAAAACGTTTTAATGTTATATTTGGCAATAAAAAGAAATGTGTTTTCTTGGTTGGGCTGGATAGCTGTATTGCTCAAACAGCTGGTTTTTATGCTTAGAAAATTATTCCTGGAAGAAATATACATTCTGTGCTCTCAGAAATGTTTTTTACCTGTAAATATTTGGTAAGTTTGATTTTAAGTGAGACTAGCACTGTTGGCTGGCTATTTTAACAGAGCCAGAAATAAAGAAATCCAGGTAAAGGGTGAAGAATTTTGGCAGTAACTCTAATGGGCAACCCTGCAACATGTTTCTTAGTGGGAAGAGGAATCTTGGTAGAAAAAAGATGAATTAGAGCTATGCCCAAATATCAAGTAATGGAGATTTTATATAGATATATGTTATTTCAGATTACAAGAAATATAAGAAATTATTAATGTTAATGAGATATGCTAAAAACTTTTTCATACTGTCTTTGAAATCTAGCATGTATTTTACACTTAAAGCACATATTAATTTGGTCTAGCCACATTTTAACTTCTTAATAGCCGCGTGACTACCATATTGGATGCACAACTATATCTATAGCAACCTCAGTTAAACTTGTTACAAACAACCAATGTGGAAACACTTATGCCAAAGTTAAAGATTGAATGAGATCAATTAGTTTATGATTTTGAGCTATTTATCTGTGTGTCTATCTCAGAGATCTATCAGATTGTGTAAATCATTACTTTTGAAATGAGGTTTGTAGATTAATCTGTTAGCTAATAAAGAGGGAAGGGTCCTACAGGCTGATGTTCCATCTGGATTGACTGGTAGGCAAAACTAGCAGCAACCCAAGGGAAATTGGCAAAGATAAATAAGATAGAAATTCCAAGAGCAACACTGGACACAGCCAAGGCAGCAGGTTGGAGTCATATCAATTTCAGGAAGACAGGAATATTAAACACCAAAAGAATTTAGCAGCTGAAAAAAGAACTTTTGGGCAAAGACTGTAGGTAGAGTTTAACCCAACAGTGATGATGATATCTAGAATGACTCAGTGTTGGCAAGCAAATAGTGCATCTCCTCATTCTGTGTCCCCAAAATGATTTATATATGACATATTTCCCCTCAATTTTTCTGTTTTCATTAATATTTTATTTCCAAAAGAAGATAATTTTAATTAGAGTTAAATAGAAAGTAAAATTAAATGGTCTTTTTAACATGTTGATCACTTACATTGCCTACTGAGATTAGAATGTCGACTCTTATAACTAAATTTCTAATAGGTTTATTTTTCTGTTTAGAATGTTGTGTAGATTATCTCTTGCTTGGCTCTCTTATTATTTGAAATGAGATCATAGAGAATGTTGTTAGCAGAGTTTCTATTCCCATGCACTAATCAACTTACATAAATCATGATAATTGACCCAGGCTTAGTATTGTTCCTCCTTCTAGTTAATTAGAGATATAGTCATATAGTCATGATGAATTGATAAAAGAAGTAGAATGCAGTAATTGGATGATGATTTTGAATATTAGAGACTCAGTACATAATACATAATCATGATTGGCTATTTCAGATAAAAGTCTGTGTTTACTTGAATTTTTCCAGAAACAGGATTTGGGGCACTAAAAGTTAAAATAAGTACTATTACAATCAACTCACATTCTTGTAATTAAAATAACCTGAGTCTCCAGTCTCACAGTATTCAAGGTAGATACATGAGCTAAATAATGGGCTTAGAGTGACTGGTTTCTTTCTTTCTAACTTTTTCTGAAATAAAGTACATGTGTCTTGATAGTGTCATGAAGAGTACAGTTAATTCTTCCTTAATAATTTGAATGAAAGATCAATTTAATAGGGTAAAGAAAGAATCATACCTTTCCTTTTGCCATTTTAACTTCAAACAACTGTAATTGATGAAAATAAAAAAGCTATCATCACTCCCATAGTAAAATCCTTTAAGTGACTTTCTTTAACTGATTTCAAATAAAATAAAAACAAAGAAATGGCTTGAGGATCAGAGTTATAAACTGCTCAGTGAAAGGTTTTTTAAAAGCTCAGCTACTGTCTCTCAGGATTTATTTAAAAAAAAGAATTGGATATATGTAAAGTATTATACTGCACAATATAGAGCTTTATCTCCAGAACTGAATATACTGTCTTTCCTTCACTTCTACAAACCTCTTTTTCTATGGTTACAAAATTGATTTCTGATCATGGTGTTAATTAGTCTGATGAGAAAATAAAACATATTTTATATGTTTCTTCTTTTTAACTAAACTTTTATTTTGATATAATAATAGATTCACATGAAGTTGTAAGAGATAATCCCGCTGGGAGCGGTGGCTCAAGCCTGTAATCCCAGTATTTTGGGAGGCCGAGGCGGGTGGATCACGAGGTCAAGAGATTGAGACCATCCTGGTCAACATGGTAAAACCCTGTCTCTACTAAAAATACAAAACATTAGCTGGGCATGGTGGCGCGTGCCTGTAATCTCAGCTACTCAGGAGGTTGAGGCAGGAGAATTGCCTGAACCCAGGAGGTGGAGGTTGCGGTGAGCTGAGATGGCACCATTGCACTCCAGCCTGGGTAACAAGAGTGAAACTCCGTCTCAGAAAAAAAAAAAAAGAAATAATATCCCATGTAGATGTGTGGCATTAGTTCTGAGGCCTCTGTTCTGTTCCATTGGTCTATATCTCTGTTTTGATACCAGTACCATGCTGTTTTGGTTACTACAGTCTTGTAGCATAGTTTGAAGTCAGGTAGCATGATGCCTCCAGCTTTGTTTTTTTTTGCTTAGAATTGACTTGGCTATGCGGGCTCTCTTTTGGTTCCATATGAAGTTTAAGGTGGTTTTTTCCAGTTCTGTGAAGGTCAATGATAACTTGATGGGGATAGCTTTGAATCTATAAATTACTTAGGCCATTTTCATGATATTAATTCTTCCTAACCATGAGCATGGAATGTTTTTCCATCTGTTTGTGTCCTCTCTTATTTCCTTGAGCAGTGGTTTGTAGTTCTCTGTGAAGAGGTCCTTTACATCCTTTGTCAGTTGTATTCCTAGGTATCTTATTCTCTTTGTGGCAATTGTAAATGACAGTTCACTCATGATTTGGCTCTCTGTCTGTTATTGGTGTATAGGAATGCTTGTGATGTTTGCACATTGATTTTGTATACTGAGACTTTGCTGAAGTTGCTCATCATCTTAAGGAGATTTGGGGCTGAGACCATGGGTTTTCTAAGTATACAAGCTTTGACAAACCTGACGAAAACAAGCAATGGGGAAAGGATTCACTGTTTACTAAATGGTGTTGGGAGAACTGGCTAGCCATGCACAGAAAACTGAAACTGGACCCCTTTCTTACGCCTTATACAAAAATTAACTTCAGATGGATTAAAGATTTAAACGTAAGACCTAACACCATAAAAAACCTAGAAGAAAACCTTGGCAGTACCATTCAGGACATAGGCATAGGCAAGGACTTTGTGACTAAAACACTAAGAGCAATGGCAACAAAAGCCAAAATAGACAGATGGGATCTAATTAAACTTAAAAGCTTCTGCACGACAAAAGAAACAATCATTAGAGTGAACTGACAACCAACAGAATCGGAAAACATTTTTGCAATCTACCCATCTGACAAAGGGCTAATATCCAGAATCTACCAAGAACTAAAACAAACTTATAAGAAAAAAGCAAACAACCCCATCAAAAAGTGGGTGAAGGATATGAACAGATACTTTTCAAAAGAAGACAGTTATGAGGCCAACAAATGTATGAAAAATGCTAATCATCACTGGTCATTAGAGAAATGCAAATCAAAACCACATTAAGATACTATCTCACATCAGTTAGAATGGTGATCATTAAAATATCTGGACACAACAGATGCTGGAGAGGATGTGGAGAAAGAGGAACACTTTTACACTGTTGGTGGGAGTGTAAACTAGTTCAACCATTGTGGAAGACAGTGTGGTGATTCCTCAAGGATCTAGAAATAAAAATACCATTTGACCCAGCAATTCCATTACTGGGTATAAACCCAAAGGATTATAAATCGTTCTATGATAAAGACACATGAACACATATGTTCATTGCAGCACTGTTTACAATAGCAAAGACCTGGAACCAACCCAAATGCCCATCAAGGATAGACTGGATAAAGAAAATGTGGCACATACATCCCATGGAATACTATGCAGCCATAAAAAAAGGGTGAGTTCATGTCCTTTGCAGGGACATGGATGAAGCTGGAAACCATCATTCTCAGCAAACTGACACAAGAACAGAAAACTAAACATGGCATGGTCTTGCTCATAGGAATTAGTATGCTCTTCATTACTGAAGAGTCTCAGTCAGGTAAGAAAGAAAAGACCTAAGCCTCTGGTAAGAGGTTATGATGAAATCTTGATCCTTCCACTGTTTGGAAAGAAAGTTACCGTAAGTATAGGCAACTCAAACGACTCTCCAAGCCTAAGTCAAGATATTCCAAAGACTCTCTGTGGGCTTCACCCGGTGAAAGGTGCAGAAAATAGGTGATATGGGAGAGAAGCCGCAGGAGGATCCCTGCAGGCCGGTGTGGCCAAGGCCAGCTTTCATAAACAAAGGGCCCTGGAGGGATTCAGAGCCAGTCCCACTGGGCTGGAGGATCAACCAGTGAAAGAAGTGTTTCCCTTCACACAGCGACAATCTCAGGTGAACTCAAAGCTGTCTACCTTCAAAGAGGACCTCTGCCGTGAGGCAAGAACGATGATATTTTCTTTACTAACAGTATGACATACACTCATTTGACATATTAACTGAATATAAACTACATGCCAGGAACCCTGTGAAACAATTTTATTTCACATTTGTCTTAAAAACCACAAGGACACTATTTCCTTCACATAAAAAGCTTGTCGTTTACAGATGTCCTTTTCACCTCTACCACCACGTCCAAGACCCTGGTGAACATCCAGACCCAGAGCAGGTCTGTTTCCTATGCAGGGTACTTGGTCCAGCTCTACTTCTTCTTGACTTTTGGGGACATGGACATCTTTCTCCTGGCTACAATAGCCTATGACTGCTATGTGGCCATTTGCCACCCACTCCACTATCTGATGATCATGAGCCTCCACCACTGTGTCCTACTGGTGACTGCCTGCTGGACCCTCGTGAGTCTTGTTGTCATGACTCACACCTTCCTCATATTCCAGCTTTTCTTCTGCTCTGAGAAGATAATTCCTGACTTCTGTGATTTGGGACCGCTGATGAAGGTGTCCTGCTCTGATACCCAGATCAATGAGCTTGTGCTCCTCTTCCTAGGGGTAGCAGTCATTTTAATCCCTTTTTTGCTCATCCTGGTCTCTTACAGCTGCATTGTTTTAGCCATCCCCAGGGATCCCCTCTGCCCAGGGAAGGCACAAGACCTTCTCTACCTGTGGCCCTCATCTCGCTGTTGTTGCTCTGTTTCTCGGGATGGTAATCAGGGCTTATCTGTGCCCTTCATCCTCTTCCTTTAACTCAGTAGAGGAGGATACAGTGGCTACTGTCATGTACACTGTGGTGACTTCCCTGCTGAACCCCTTTATTTACAGCCTGCAGAACAAGGACTTGAAGGTTGCAGTGGTTAGACTTCTCAAAGGCAGAGTCTCCTCACGGGGCCAGTGACTCCAGTGACTTCTGCTGAGAAACTGAAGATGTCTCTGTCCCTTCCAGTGAGGGGCTTGGCAGAAATTTCTGCCTCAAATGTCTCATTTCTGAATCCCACGTATCCTGTAGCACCATTCCCCTCCATGAATGCCCATTGCAAGTTTGGTGTTTACGAAGGAATATCAGGATTTTGCTTTGTGCTTACTGTGTTAAGAGTTCCTTATTTGCTCATTTATTTTACTTAATAATTTTTCATGAGGAGGAGTGACTTTTGCAACACTTAATTCTAAAAGACTGTATAGCCTTTTATGCTAGTTTGTCAGAACTTAATGAGGTCATAGGAATCAAGTCAATATCAGATGGCAAAGACTTTATAACTTTAAGTGAACAAGCATGTTTTTCTACAAAAATAGGAAATTATACAAATATTGTCTCAAAGTTATGAATCAAAGATATTTGCAGCTATTAAAACGAAACTCTCAACAATAGAGGAGTGATTTATGTTCTCTTAGTAAAAATATTTACAGAAAGTCTAAAGTTTAATTAGATCCCATTTGTCTATTTTGGCTTTTGTTGCCATCCTGTTGGTGTTTCAGTCACGACGTCCTTGCCTATGCCTATGTCCTGAATGGTATTGCCTAGGTTTTCTTCTAGGTTTTTTTATGGTGTTAGGTCTTATGTTTAAATCTTTAATCCATCTGGAGTTAATTTTTGTATAACGTGCAAGGAAAGGGTCCAGTTTCAGCTTTCTGCACATGGCTAACCAGTTTTCCCAACATTATTTATTAAACAGGAAATCCTTTCCCCATTGCTTGTTTTTGTCAGGGTTGTCAAAGATCAGATGGTTGTAGATGTATTTATATATGTGTGTGTATGTTTATGTGTGTGTTATATATAATTCTAAAGTAAATTGACCATTCTCTAATAAAGATTATGAATTATTAAGAGGAGAAAAAAAGAAAAAAGTTTTACAAACAATTTGTTAATATGAAGATAAATAAATATATGTTATAGCTTGTGGGGAAAAAAAAGAAATAATACTCCATGTACGCTTTACTCAGTTTTGCCAGTGGTTACCATATTGCAAAACTATAGTGCAGTATCATGATTAGGAAAATGTCACTGATGCAGTCTACCCAATTTTATTTAGAATTTCCCAATTTTACATATATTTGTATGGGTGTTTAGTTTTTATCACACGTGTAGGTCAAAACATAGAACAGCTGCATTACCAAGAGTCCCTCGTGTTACCTTTTTATAAGTACATCCACCTGATTCCACCCTACACTCCCATTTTGAACCCCTGGCAATTCCTAATATCTCATTCATCTCTGTGATTTTGTTATATCAAGAACAGGGTTGAATAGACAGAATCGTATAACATGTAACCTTGAAATTGGCACATTTCCCTTGTGAATTTGTCCACGTGGTTCTGCAAATTAGTAATTCATTCCCTTTTACTGCTGAGTAGTATTTCATGGTATGAATATACCATCATTTTCTTAAAACCATTCACCTGTTGAAAAACATCTGGTTTGTTTCCCGTCTTCTGGTATTGATATTAAAGCTGCTATAAACATTTATCTATGTTTGTGTGTGTGCGTGTGTGTGTGTGTGTGTGTGTGTGTGGCCTTTGTCTCTGTTTTGGAATACAAATGTAAATTTCTAAGGACTTTTGCTGTGCTAACTTTATTTTCTTTAAAATTGTAAAGTAGAAAAGGTATGCAGATACCAGTAGTTTCATTAAAGGTGTTTAATAAAAATGTGCTTTACAATCTCCCAATTAAAAGTAGTTTTTAGATCAAATTTTCCTTGAAAGAAAAAAGAGATGATTTTAGGGAAAACCCTCTGCAGACAGAGAATTTAAAATTTCATTTTAAATGGATTCAAGGAGAACCCATGCCTTGTTTAACATTAAATTTCCAGTGATTTCCACTAGTATAAAATGGGTACGTTCCCTGAGCGGTCTGCACCCAGGTGAAGACAGGGCCATTTCTCTTGGCACCTTCTCCTGATCAGTCTTACCATTTCTCTTTTCTTGGGGGAAAGAGAGTGAGGAATTGACACAGGATGGAGAGTTAAACTAATTGGAATCCCTCCATTTTCCATGTGTGAGTACACATTAAGAGTTAGAAATGATCGTTCCTACCCTTCAATGATATCATAAAACCAAATGTATAATGCAAAATGAGTACCATTTCGGATCCTTTAGAATCAGTTAATGGTGTTTTTTAATACTGAGAAGTTCACGAGGAAGAGTGTGTTCCTATTTGTTCAGCTGAGGAATAAGACCTTGCTGAGGCGAAACTTTAATACCATTTATCAGAGACTTCAGTAAAAGTGACATATTCAGAACTTGCAGCAAAGAGAGTTCAATGTTTTCAGGGCATTCTTTGTGTTGTTAATAGGGTTGGGGATTCTGAAAACTACTTGAATAAGATAAAAGAATATCACTATCCTTGAAAAAATTCAGAGATGTGGTATATCGCCAAAGGAAAGTAAAGTTTAAAACCACAATTTCCCCACAATATCCACTTGCTTTCTAACATCACTCTATTCCTACAAATGAGTCAAAGGTTTGAATACTTCACTAAACTATAAAGCAGAGCTCGTGATAGTAAATCAGGCAGACAATAATAAGCTTAACTCTGTGTCATTCTTTCTTCCATTTTAAAGATAAAGCAATTCTTAGCCTGTGGTTCTGTCTACATATTTAGGGTAGAGGCTGTACATTATTGCCCTTCAGAAGTGGGGACTGTTGGGTTTTTGTGTTAAGGTCATTTAAGTCATGAAAAAAAACAGCAATTTTTCTCTCCCTCTGCAAATTAAACACACTCCCCGTCGTGTTGTAATGGATTTCAGTCCTTTGTAATTAAAGATCCAACTGTTCACCTCTTGAAACCAAGTACTTTTTATCACACTGTTGCTTCATTTATCTCTGAGGAAAGACATGGATCTACCCATTTGCTATTGGAGTGACGCAGTGTGCTCTGTATCGCTGGCAGGAACACAGTAATAAAAGTGAACAGCAGACATTTTGGAAGAGAACCATTACCTTGATTCTCTAATGAGTTTTGTTTTTCAAGACATTTTCTGTAACAGAGATTTATAACGGAAGAAACCTCAAATTAAGATGACTGGCTCTTCAGAGTGTTATTTTTACTGAGAGTGATTAAAATATTTCCTCTCTAGTTCTTTAGCTGGACTTTAAGTTGCCCTTTTCCAGGATTTCCTTTTGCCTTCCATCGCAGAAATTTCATTTCTTGCTTATTTTCTTCTCTTTCACTTCTAACTCACTCCATGGTCCCACCCAACCCCATGACAAATTCTGCTTTGACTGTGCTCGATTTTGAGTTTCCCAGAAAGCAGGGCCTGAGACAGAGGGAATAGGTGCTATTGCCAAAGGATGCATGAGTGAGCAAGAAGGGAGAGACGTGGGAAAGGAGGAAGACTTAAGGTGAAGGCGTATTTGACACTGTTGTTTGTTGAGTGTGACTGGTTGCTAGATCCATGGAAAAAAACAACCAAGAAGCTGAAGAAAGTGCCTTGCAGCCAACTTGAGTAAAGGGAGGAAATTCATTCAGTGGATCCTATCTCTGATTGTTCAAAGGTCGCCCATCCCATGGAGCTTTGCACTTCTAGTGACGCACCTATGGAAATAGGCATCCCATTGGTTCTCCCGGGGAAATCAGCAAGAAAGCCCTGTGCAGAAGTAGGGGTGCTGTCAGAGAATGTCTGTTAAGAAGCCAGCCAGAGTTCTTACGAGCTGGTTGTCACCTCAGCAGCTGGAACAGAAGGCAGTTGAAGCCTAGAGGATGTCAAAAGCTGCCCAAGATGTGTCCCACACACATTGCAATTGCTTCCTGCAAATTGTCAGTCTGTGCAGAAGCACAAGTGAGACTTGTCTCTGCAATTGAGGACTTAAAATAGTCTTGGAAACATAGTCTTGGGACTATGAACTTATGTTGTAAGAGATTGCTAATTCAATCCTGGTCGAGCAAGTAGAAAACAGAGATCATAGATGTTTCATTCTGCATTCCCAATATGAAACATAAAGTTTGCCACAAAACAAACGCTCAACACAACTTGTAATAATAGTGACTATTTATGCATAAATTGCATTTTAGGACAACTAGAACTTACAAATATAGTCATTTAAAAAAACTGTGATATATTTTATGACACTAGTTGCTATGGCATGATAAATCAAAGTAGCAGGTTTAGTCTTCGACATGTTGGGGTCATTTAAGAAGTCTATTCCTAACTGTCATTTCAACTCAGAAGTTGCTGGAGTTTGTGTGTCCATTTTCATCTGACTAGTCTGGCCTATTCAAGCCCAAATTCTCAGATAGGGAGTGATGTTATCTAATACCGCTTGAAGGTACTTTCGATAGTTAGCTCAGAGAATAGCCACTTGTGCTTTTTTGTATTGAGCTGCCTTAGGGACTCTTATCTAAAATGGTTCACTAAGAACCCTAAGCTACTGTTGACAAACAGAATGTTAAAAAATAATCAATTAAGAGCAATATTACATTGGGCCAAGTTCATTTGGCTTTCTTTATTACAGTTTTTCCTGCTATTTGTTGTTTTTTGTTTGAAAGGGAAGTGAATTATGCATACACTGAGTTTTAGGAAATATTTAGCTGTTAGATATTTAAAACATAATCAAATCCATATTGCTATAGAAATCTTAATTTATATTCATGATTAAATTACAACTAAAAATTTGCATTTCCTTCTAGTAAAATTCAAGCAACTGATTTCTTCCAAGTCTGATAATAACACCTTTTCATTAGATCTTTTGTGCTCTTTTAACATTTTATTTTGCAAAATACATCCCACATTGTTAGAGATAAAAGGATTTTGAAACCATCTTTGAATAAAATTTAAGATGGATGTCTTTATTTATCCAGTAGCAGAAATGAGAAAAACAAACAATCTTGTACTCCTAAATCTTCATTTAAAGACTTAATTGTCCATAAAATCTGCTGAATTCACCTATCCAGTTGATAGGAAGATTACTTTCTTGTTTTTCTTAATTGTTGTTTTAGAAATACAAGAGTGGAAATGAGCATACATTTTGATGAAACATGAGCACCCAAAACGAGTATTCATGGGTCCACTTCCTCACTTGTCCCAGTATCTACATCATTTGGTTGAGGGACTTTGAAGTTTCTCCCATGTAAGGAGTAGAATGTATTTTCCCACCCTTTGACTCTGGGTTCTACCATGTAACCAAAAGAAATAGCTAGGAGTCACTGTGCCTGTCCAAACCTGGGAAAGCACATGCAATAGGTCTTACGTATTTCTGCTTTCCTTCTTTTGCCTCTGACACTGCCAGAAGGCGAATGTGTCCAGGTGAGGCCACTGGCTCCAGGAAAAAGATGAAAAACACGAGGAGCAAAGCCGTTCATCCCCACTTCTCCACCTGAGCCACACACTGGCAAGCTGGTCAAGATCTGCAGAGCCCAGCCTAGTCTAGATAAGATGACACCTCTGCCACCCAGTCAATCCACAAACATATAAGCTATTGATATCATGCTAATAATTCTTATTTAAAACTACTATGTTTGGGGATAGAGAACTGATAATATGTATGTGTTTACTACCCACTGTCATCATGAACTAACTTTAAAATACAAATATTATTGTCAGTATGTTTAATAGTATTTCTGCAAAAATTTTAGCTACTATTTGCCCTGTAGCTCTGATATGACTAGCGATGTAGAAATACTACTCTTGTTTCTTTGCCGAAGGATTCTCTAGAATGTACACATCCAGATGGTACCAAAATAAATTCAATTTCATTTCATTCCATGAGGAACCTGAAAGTGCTATCCTTTACAGTAGCTTGTACATCCTTAGCAAAATTTTGCAAGTTTACACAGAGCATTTGTGGTATAACATTATTCACAATGTTGGTTTTCATTAATCTATCTGCCTTATTTATTACACATTTGTTGAATGCCTGCTTTCTCTAGATCTAAAAATATAAGTGTGAAGGGAACAGCCACTATATTTAAAAATAATACATCATTAGAGAAATCAAATGTAAGTTAACTTTTACATAATATATGAGAAATGTGAAAACTTGATGTCATTTTGGCGAGTGTTTAAATAGATATGTTTAGAAACTGAGAAAGGTGACATTTTTCAAAAGATATTTGACATGGTAGTCATTTTTATGTAGATTGAATTAATTTCTCTTTTTAAAAACTATAAGAGAAAATATATGTCCTAGATTTCAATTTTAATACTATTGAAAATTTTCAGCAACAGTTTTTAAACCACCATATAAAATCAGTCACAGATTTAAAAAGTCAAAATTTTCCTTTTTAAATTGACTTTTTCCTGTATTCATTTAATGTGTCTTCCCTTGAAGCCAATCTATTTCAAGACCTAAAAAAGTCTTGTTCATTGTAGAGTCTCAGAAATTATTTCCCAAATGCATAAATCATTAAATATCATTTCATTTATAGGATACCTAGATTTGACTATAGTGCAATGTTTTTAAAGAACTATTTTAGGGCTGCAAATGTGAAAAACATATGCTACGAGAAACTGTGCCCAGATCCCAGGGAGTGAAGCCAAAGCTTCCTTTTTCATATTTGCCACTGTTAATTGCTAATCAAATAATCAAATAATTCCTCAGGCTTCTAGTCCTTGTTTTATCTGCTGCTGGGTCACGGCACCTTTATCTGGGACATAGCCCTAGGAAAACCTTTCTTCCTAGCCCCCATCTAAATTGTTTGTAGATAAAAAGGAACTCCCTATTTCCCAAGCCAAGATAGCAGAGTCTCACACCACCTCTCCCATTACAGAAGCAGGGAGAGGGTAGTATGGATGTTGGACTGTGGCACTTCAGCATCAAGTTACCTTAATTCAGATCCAGCCTCCACCCCTCACTCTTTGTGACCTTAGGTAAGTTACTTAGCACTCTGTTCCTTGGTTTCCTCATATGAAAAATGGGGATTATAAAAAGATCTAACCCTCTAGGCTATCGTGAGACTTTAATGATTTCACACATGCAAGGCACGTAGGACAGTGT